AAAAATATAATAATAATTATAAATATATATATATATATATATCTATATGGTTTTCATATCTTATGCGAAATATTTTTTTGTAGCTATGCTGGCGTGGCAAATTTTCTACTATACTACAATTCAAGACTTTTTACTTGACAAAGTAAAATTAATAATTATTTAAAAATTATTAAAATTTACAAAGATTAATAAATTCTTGAAATTCTTATATGTACTATAACAATATTATTCTCTCCTTAAATAAAAATAAAATAATTAACATAATGCAATAAGATATTATACTTACATTGTGACCGAAAAGCTTCCGGAAATTTTAAATAAAACGCAAAATTCTTAATCTTCATCAATATTTATTTTATCTCCTTCAAAATATGCTCCATTAGAAGCGATACACAAATGCCAACGTTTCTTCCAATCATCAAAACATTATAGGCGCTTTCCGGTATGGCTTTGAGTTCCCTCTGCGAATTCTGTTTTACGTCTTCTATGGATTCAAAACGCGTTCCTCTGAGTGGTAATTTGAGGTTGGGAAACAGGAAAAAGTCACACGGTGCAAGATCAGGTGAATACGGTGGCTGTTCGATGGTATTTATTGAATGTTTGGCCTTAAAATCGTTGATAATGTTGAACAAATTGAGGTGAATCGGAACAAGCCGGGCGTTGACACGTCGCATACACAAATTGTCCACCAAAATCAAACGAGCCATCTCACGACCGATGCCTAGCTCTCGTGCTATCTCTCTAACACTCACATGAGGATTTTTGAACACGATTTCCTTTGCCTTTTCAATGTTTTCGTCGGTGGTAGAGGTCGAAGGTCGTCCAGAACGCGGCATGTCTTCGACGGTCGTACGACAGTCCTGAAAGGCTTTGTACCACTCATAAACTTGAGTTTTCGATAAAACTGATTCCCCATAAGCCTTTTGTAGCATTCGCAACGATTCTGCACACGAAATTTCGTTCGAAAAACAAAATTTGATGCAAACTCTTTGTTCAATATTTTTTTCCATTGTTTTTTTCGCAACGCACTACTGAGCTGAACTGGTTTCAACAGCTGCCGTAAACGAACTGTCCGACAGATCGCGCTCATTTTTGGCATAGTAATTAAGGACAGTGCTGCCAAACTACATAAACTTAAAATATCGAAAAATATACAGCGCGCGAATTTTAAATGAGAATTTCCGAAAACTTTTCGGTCACAATGTATGTATATAAAAAAGAAATGAAAGAAATAAATACATAGAATATATGTTTGTATGTGAAAAATTTATTTAAATGTTTATATATATATATACTAATGAATGTACAATTGTTTACAATAAAATAAGTATATACTATATATCCATAACTTCTACAGAAATATTTGAACTAATTTATGTTACTAAATCAATGAAAAAATTGATTATAGTATATAAGAATGATTGTAAAATTATATTTTAAATATTGAATAAAAATTTATGTTTCATGTTAAAAAAAGTTTATTTATTTGAATTTTTTTTATATAAGAAATTAATTAAAAAAATGGATTTTAACTAATATATATAAACAGACACCTGCAGATTTTGACTTGTCGAATACACAGTAAGACTATCCAGAGTCCAGTTCATCTATTCGGCTTTCGTTAAATCGTATTTAAATTTTCTTCACAATAAATTAATCTATCTAATGTACTTATTTAGTTCATCTAATTTAATAACTCAGCCTATATATACCGATATCTATAGATTCTATAAAATGCAGCGTAAAGCTTTTAACCATCTCATCTTTTTGTGTTCTGCCATGCGAGAAAGGACGATACTAAGCTTTCTTTGAAACTTTTAAGGTCTGGGATTTTTCAAAATCAGCTTAAGTGACTCTTAATATTCAAAAATATATCAAAACAAATTATACAATTATTACTTATAATAATAAAAAAATAGTTTATCTACTTTTACTATATTGGAATGTAGCTGCTCCACGTGTAGAATAATGTTTATATGTACAAAAAATGACTTGTTTACTTCATATAGGAACCTGTGATATAAATATTAATTATAAATAAAATGTTATTAATAATTCTATCCATTAGAAATAACAATTAATAAATCAAAAAGTTAAAATTTAATGCGACAAACTATGGCATTACCTAACAATTCCATCAAAGTCATTCACAAAATTAATGCGATGATGTTGTTAATTTTCTTAACAAATATAAACACACTATCGAGTTTATTATAATTACTCTTATATATACTCTTATATATATATTTTTACAAATTTATTATTTCTAAATAATAAAAAGCCAAAGTGCTAAGTCATTTATGGACTAAATGGGCACCAATAAAATTTCACTCAAATTTTAATGAATAAAAAGTTCGTATTGAGCTAAACGGACACATAAAATTAAATCGAAGAAAAACTTTCATTTTTAATGACCCAAAAACATGTAATCGAAAAGAAATAAATATACACGAGTATTTGAGACATCTTCAAGAAAGAAGCCAATGAATTACATAAACAGTTTTCAAAATTTGGTGTCACGCATCTGAGCCACTTAAAAAAAAGGGTTATCGGTGGGTTTCCAAAATTTGTTCTGAGATTATTGAGAGCAATGCAAGAAATGAGAGAAGCAAACAGCTTTGAAGAGGTACAAAGTGATTTAATTAATTCTGTTGAATATTTTAGAAAATTGACATAATCACTATTATATCCGAAAGTTTTTTTTTATAAAATAAACATAAATACATAAAGTGGGACAATTCAGAAGTATATGGTAATTCTGCACGCTTATAAAATTTTATAAACAGGTTACCACGTTATTAAGCCTTTAATTCAAATAATTTATTAAATCTTTGGTAAAATATCCCATCATTCATATTTTAATATTTAGTCTGAATACAACATTAAAGCATGCCTCTATTTTTCATCTTACATTAAAGCATGCCTTAAATCTTCATCTTACTCTTGATGAAGGAATTTAATATCTAACATTATTATAGCTTTAAAGCCAAGTATAACTAATGATTGTATTAAATGTATGTCAACAGACCAGAAGTGAAAAGTTATCAACCTTTACAACTTAACCAAGGAAGAGCTGGAAAAATATTTGATATAATATGTATTAAAACATCAATTAAATTTGCTTATAAATAATGAAAATGTTGTAAGTACGTGGTATCAGAGCAGCATCTCCTTCCCCATCCCAATTTTTATTTAATAACGTTTGTCATCAATTTTTTGAAAACTTATCTCATCTCAATTCACAGTTTACATGTCGTTTGTTCTGCGAAAGCATAATTGGGGCTTTAACTTTGAGTGACAATTTTTGCGATGGAAATATTTAACCAAACTAAAAATTTAATTCGATCATTTTTAATTTCATTAGTACTCAAAAAAAATTTAATTAATTTATAAATAATAAAACGGACTCCGCATTGATATCACTTTATATGAGAGCTCCTATAGAGTAAAATATATAGAGCTCCTATATCACCCAATGGGTCTGTATATCGATTATACTCTTATTCGATATCCAAACTTTAATATAAAATGAAATTTCAACTATTTTTTCGTAAGCCGGCAACCTTAAATTTCATCCATAAAAAATAATGTTGTAGCCAATATCCCATCTCTTGATGTAGATGAGTATCATTAGATCAGTTTAAGCGAAAATTCCATGTAATTTATTTTGTTGTATGATAACCATACCAATTATGATAACCATTACTATACATCGTTAAGAGAAATGTAATAGGCTGTATTAGACTCCTTTGTATAGAGATTACTTAGTAACCTCGTTCATTCAGATCGTTTCACCGGTTTATAAAAATCATAAATTCCATTTGGTACTAAAAAATTTTTAAATTTATGTATTAAATTTCTAAACCCTACTATGTAATCTATACATATTTGATGTGACGTTATCATGCATATCACTAAGTAACCCCACTCTTTACATTCCAACTAAAGAACGGTTAGACGTATAAAAAATTTTTTTAAATCAAATTCATGGGGAATTTAATATTATACAACTTATATAATGACGCGATTTTAAAAATAATCCGATTTTTATGACCTTAGCTCTGGAATATATTGGCTCGATACCAATGCTTGAGCCTATTAGCAAATTGCTTTGATGTCCAAAGTATACTTGGATATCAAATTACTCGAAGGTTCAAAAAGTCGAATAATATATGAAGCACGAGTTCGTACATATTTATATAAATAATTTTAGTGACCATTAATATGGCTACGGAACCCTATTCTATTAACGCACTATACAATTCGTTTGATTGTTTTGTTTATATCGCACTCCCTTTTTTAATTTGAGTCTCAAACTAAATTGCATTAATTCTTTCGTAAACTTTATCTGAACAACTTTTATTCCATTTACAACTTTTATTGAGTTAAGACGTGTTTCGGACTTCAGTGCTACGCGACGGTGCAACTTAATTTTATTTTTCAAAAATTTTGAGTTCTTGTTATTCGAAACTCTACACCAAGAAAATAAAAAAAAAATCAGTGTAAGAATGTAGTCAAAACAACATTTATCTGTGAAATATTATCAAGACAAAATTAGGTCATTCATGAGTTGCATATTACTTATTAAAAAGTCAACGTACGGAAAGTAAACAAAAAATCAAGATATTTCGTTATAAAAATAATCATTTTTATTAAAAAAAAAATCACAAAAAAAAATGCACTTAGAAATAATAAATAATATATGGTGTTTAATTATGTTTTTTACTATAGGAACACATGAGAGATATTATCGAATAATTTAAAAATTTCCAAAACTTAAGAAAAAATATTTATGTATGTATTTTAATAATTTTGCAATTGATGTGAGAGATAAAAAATATTTTTAAATCTTTTAGAAAAAAAAAAATTTAATAGAAAATAATTTTATTAATAAATTAGGACTACGTGTGATGTTAATAAAAATAAATTACTTTTGAAAAATAGTAAAACATTTTAATATTATCAAAATTGAATTTATAGAAAAAAAATGTGCATTTGTATAAAAAAAATAATACATTATAATTATTTATAAAATAAAATAGTAAACAATAAATATTTTGACCATTTCAAAGATAAACTAGCGGATATGACAGCTATTTGTAAATGCTTCAAAAAAATATTTTTAAATTTATCCAATATGATTTGATGCAAAATTTTGGTAATAATGATAATCACTTATCATTATTTTTCTAGTTTTCAAGGATGATCATCAAGTCATTCCAGTTGTTTTCCATTTTTTCAGCAATCCACTCATGTGATAATTAACACTCGGCAATTAACTTGCACTATTCTCTCTGGTAATAACACAAGAAGAAAAAGAAACTTCTTCTTCTTGATGATGGATTCGACAAAACTGGGCTCAATATGTGATATCCGCTTACTATGCGGCTCTATTCTCTCTTTTAACAGATAAAGGAAGAGTTTCTAGCTCTTATTCGTGATAGATTCGAGACAACGCGGAACAATATGTGAATAGACAATGTGGAACTGAAGAATATGATGGATCTTTTCTGTTTCTTTTCTGTTACAATTTTAGTGTGTTTGTAATCAAATTGCCACTGATGACATTTAAATGTCGCTTACTAGCTTTTCTCCGACATTCTATCTATAACAAATCCTGTTATTTTTAATTTTTCAGTTTTTAAGTCTGATTATATCCCATCAAAAACATTATATTACTTTTCATTATATACTAGATGTGTTTCAGCATTCCTTTTGAGTGAAACGCTAAACTTCTTTCTTTTCTTGTTTCTAAAGAGAAGTCACAAAAAAGGAATAACTTAAGAGTTTTATGGGAAATCTGATGTAGGAAAATCGTTATCATTTATTGATGAACTTAACTTTAATCATATAGACTTCATTAAATCAGAACAGCTTGGTCGTGAGCTCGGACAATATCAAAAAAATGCAGAAATGCCGATAAATGAGAACCTGTAATCTGGAACAACTAATATTAAAGAAATAAAAAATTAAATAAAAAAAATTGTGGCATCAGTATTTTGAAATGTACATAGAATAATATTCATCCTTGAGGTACCTTGAGGGATTATTCATCAAAATTAAATACAATATAATGAAATATTATTGGTATATTTGAATTATTATATCACAAAAAAAAACAATAGTTTCAAATAGTAGAAAACACTATTCTGCCAACAAAGTTCATATATTCACATCACACAAATTGATCTGTCCACCCAACATTTTCTTTAAATCTGGCGCCTAGTGTGTGTTCCATTTTAGCGAACCTCAGAAAGATACTCCGAGCAAAAGATTTGAATGAAATACAGAAGTGTTTGTTAAGAATTAGAATAAGAAAAAGTAAGATTAATAATTATTAATCTGTAAGAAAAAAATACCCAAAATATATTGTTCTAGAAAAGGAATTCGTTTTAAATACTAAATACTATATACTACTATATACTATATATAAGCATTTAAATTCTTATTGAGGGCGAAGGACCCAGTAGTTTAGTTCCTTATTCTTAATTAACTTTAAAATTAATTTTATTGTTAACTCACAAATAAATAAATAAATTCTCATTGAAATATAAAAGTGTATAGTGTTAAAGAATTATCACTGAATAACATAAATTATATGTTCACTACATTTTAATAACATTTCCTTAACTTTTATTTACACAGATGCCCTTTTCAAGTTATTTCGCAGCGAATGTGCCATACGAGCAAGTTGAAAAACTGACCACATCAACCGGTTGCTCTTATATCTATTCATCCTCACAACCATCGGTCCCGATTGTGGGTGATTGGAGAACTCGTTACTGTACACTAGACAATAGTTTTCAGGATGTTTTAGAGCGTGTTCATAGCTTCGAAATACGCAAAGAGGATGTTTGGATTGTGACAAGTACTAAATGTGGCACTACTTGGACTCAGGAAATGACTTGGCTAATTTTAAATAATTATGATTTCGAAAAGGCAAAAGAAATTGATCTCACAATACGATCACCATTCTTAGAGTAGGTATAGCTATAGGTAAGACTATTGTTATTAATTATATATGTATATTACAGATTCAATGGAGTTGTGCCAAATGTACCACATGATACAATTGATGCTGCAGATAAATTAGACTCTCCGCGTTTGATAAAATCACATTTACCTGTGATGTTACTACCCAAGCAAATTTGGACGAAAAAACCAAAGGTTCAATAAACTTTAATATAAACATTAATCTCAACCAATCCAATGGTTATATATTACTTTTCTAGATTATTTATGTTTTTCGAAATCCTAAGGATGCAGCTATATCTTATTATCATCACTGGCGTGGTATGGTTGGTTATACAGGCACAAAAGAAGATTTTATGCAATTATATATGGATGGATATGTTAATTTCAATCCATTTTGGCCACATGTTTTGGACTTTTGGCAAATGCGACATGAACCAAATGTATTCTTTACCAGTTATGAACGCATGAAGAAAAATTTATCAAGTGTTATAAAAGATATTTGTCATTTCTTAGAGAAAGATATAACAGAAAAGGAACTTACACAACTTGTCGATCATTTATCCTTTGACAAAATGAAAGATAATCCAGCATGTAATCATGTTA